CCTAGTAGTAAGGCCAGGAGCCTCTAGTAGCGTCCTTGTTCCTAGTACCGATGCCCTTTGCTCCTAGTAGCTTGTTGCTACTAGTAGTAGGGCCAGGAGCGCCCCTAGTAGCGTCCTTGCTCCTAGTAGCGATGCTCTTTGTTACGAGTAGCTTCTTGCTACTAGCCTGTTGATACCCCTTGCTCAGGAGGGGCTTGAAATCTGAGATTGCGGAGGGCAAACAATTTGAGGAACTGCTCAGGAGCAGAACAATAGCGTGTGGAATTTGCTGGACCCTGCTGTATCCTCGTGTTGACGGATTTCCCCACGATTATTGCACGTGCAGTGACGCAGGAAGCATGGAGATCCCAAGATGGAGGTTCCCGAGAACATGTTCGCAGAGGTGGCACATCATCATGATGTCAAAGTTTGCCATGACTACGATTGCATGTGGGCACACTCCAAACGGAAACGATAGGGGACTCAGGGACTCACAAATCTGAGGAATGCAACAGCCACACAAAATGACATTTGACCGCGCTTCATGCGATGGTCATTGGACTTTCAGCTGGGCTAGGCGATCCTTGACAATGTGGTAGACTTGGGGGAGCTGGTTCTGCAGTTCTATGGGGGGTACATGGAAAAGACCGCAACTCAGACTCCTCTGACAGTCGAGAACAGTGCTGATCCTGTCGGGGCCCAGGCAGCCAGTCTCTCCCGACACAAACCCTCAGAAGCTGGGAAGGCAGAACATACGGAGTTCTGCATAGGTAGCACGTGACTGTGACAGGTCTCCAAAATGCTTTGACCCAACTTGCCATTTAGTCAAGATGTGGATAGTTCATGGATCAGGCGGCTCCGGAAACGAATGAAAAAGGCAAGGCCTTGGCATTACTTTTGGTACTGTAATGTGTGAGTTCATGTCACTGTCGGGGCAGTCATGACATGCTGAGCATGAAGCTTTCAAGATATTTTTTTTTGACGAAAGTGCTCAGTTGACTTTGGAATTCAGCCTGTTTGGAAGGATTACGGCATTGACAGCACATTTGAATTGGAGGAACTTGCGTGAAGCTTTCCATTGAACTTGGTGCTTGCTTTGAATTGGATCAGGGTGATTCTAGTAGCGTCCTTGTGCCTAGTAGCAAGGCCAGGAGCCCCTAATAGTGTCCGATCGCTCCTTGGAGGACAATTTGCCACCCCGAGATCCGAAAGACAAGACTTCAAAGCAGGCAGAGCAAAGCACAAAGGATTCATAACAGGTCCAGCAGGTCCTACAGATCCAACGTTTATCCGGACTCCCGAAAACTCGATGATCAATGTTTTGACATCAATTTTTTGTCAGGACTATGTGGGTGCCTTCAATAGATTGCTACCAACTTAGATACAATTTTCAAACAATGGGAAGACGAAATCTTGCAATATTGAACTAAGGGATCCAAATTTGAAATTCAAATCAAATGGCCTTTAAAAATTCTTTGAATTATTGATATTCTATTATATTATATATATATATATTTAATACATAAATTTATATGTATATTTATATATTTGTATAGATTTTTAATCTATATAAAAATATATGAATATATTTATTTGTTATTTATTGTTATTTTTGTTTATGAGATTATGTTAAATATGGACGCGTAATTTGGCGAGGATATGGGATATTTTTTAATTTATTAATAATTTATCGATATTATATAAATTTTTCGATATAAATAGGTTTTTTATTATTTATAAATTGGATTGAAATAGAAATTTTTTAAACATTTAACTAAGAATATAAATAAATATTTTTTTTATTGGAGAATTGATGTAAAATTTATTTAATATGTTGGTCGTCGATGATTTGATTATATATATAGATATTATGTTGGTACGGATGATTTTTGAGGATAGGATCGAACATTGATATTTTGGGTTATTTATACTAATATTAAAAAGACTTTTTACTTATAGATTCGTAGATTTTAATCTTGAAATGTAGACGTATAATATATGATCTTCGACTCTTTTTAATCCGAATTATTGCGGGCAAAATATTGCTACGCTACAAATGAATGTAAGATTAAATATATTTGAAAAATTGGAGGAAACATACACATTTGTGTAGATTGGAATCGCTAGAATTAGCCAAAATAGGCAGATAGGTCCGATTTATTTTTCTAATAGAGATTGGACCGAGGTTAAGGCATACTTGAAAAATTGGTTTTGAAATTCCGGTGAGATCATACTTTGGGTGCTTGATGCTATCGATTAACTAGTATAAGAACACTTAGCCAGATATAATTTGAGCGGTTAGAAGCTTTCTTTGCACAATGTATAGGGTATCGGAGACGAATCGCCTAGGGAAGATTGACGTTTGTGTTAATTGATCTTCCCCTGGTGATGCTTATTCTGCCCAGGCCGCACATAGTTGTTGTCCGAGATTTACTTGTGATAGATAGGCCTTTCTTGTGTTAGGTATTCTCGCAAGGCCGGACAAGCGTTTTGTCTGTTGTATTGCTTGTCCCCTATCCGTCAATTGATATTGTAATTTTGTTTGCCCTGGCTGTGCCGTAGCACGAATGTGTGCGTAGGGCCTTGTGTTATGCGGTTTACCGGGGGGAAAGGTATATGTACAGACATGACATTGATATCCAATTAGGAGCTTTTGTCAAGCTTTATAAATTTATTGATGAAGAAGCTAGGTCCGACTCCATTGGGTGTGGCACGACTTCAGATCTCTGGACTGAAGGATCGAGTGTTTTATGGAGCGAGTATTTCTTGCATGATATAACATCTGATGAATGAATTATCTGAGATCGGGGATATGCACTACCCTAGGGTGATTCACATCGCCGACATTGGAGACCCAGAGGCTGTTGAGGCTGCGGATGGTTTTTGGCAGCACGATATTTACTTGTTCCGTGAAGATGAAGATTCGCGTGCAAATATTCACCTTTCATTCTTTGAGCAAGATTTTCGATGGCAGCAACAATGGTGGGCACGTCTCCATCGCGCGATGGCAACGACACGATCTTATAACTTAGCAGAACTCCTGGATGAGGCGACGCCGTTCCATGCCGCCCGAGGGGCTTGGCCAGAATTAGTTGTATGCATCCTTCCAAATGATTGGCATAGAGGGACACCAAGGGAAACATGGCAAATTGATGCTGCACACCTGGTTGTCTACATGAGGGAGGTCCTCTTGGCTAATATCCCCTTCGAACAGGAGATTGGGATTTATGCAATCCAACCTTTTGTCACGCCATTTGAGCAGTTTGGCGAAGATGCACTTAACATCTTGGTTGATGCTGAGTCCCGACCTGACCTAAAAGCGATCCTTGTCATTGAGGACCATTGGCAAGGGGATTACTTACAGATGTGGCTTCTTAGGGTCGAGACAATAGTTGATACCTGGCAGATTGTTGAGGCTGTTGATCGCATGATAGATTGTTCTGACTATGATGCCACTTGTCGCTTGGAATGTGAGCTCCAGGAACTGCCGCGAATGGTGCAGTGGCGTACACTACCTGGCATGAAGATATACCTCACTATTCGAAAGGAAGAAGCCTGCCAGGCCTTGGGCTTGTTTGAGGAAGAGGAGGAAACAATACTTGTGCAAACCGAGTGTTCTGCACAACAAATCGAGACTAGACAAGGTCGACGCTGGGCACGCCTTCAGGCTGATCCGGTATATTACCAACTCACATCTTCCCTCGATTCAAGAATGGTACAGCAGCCAAGCGGCGGTGTGACAAAAATCTGGCTGTGACATGGGATTATATCACACGATGCTGCTATTCTTCTTGACTTGCGAATCGAAATCCCGTCATGGACGGAATGGATCCGCGAGTCATAGCGAGATGAGCCACATCTCTCGCATTATATCCTTGTCATACAGAGGCTGCCATCACTTAGTCTTATTAGGATAGATTACAACATCATCGGCGCAAGTGTAATGGACCGTACATATGGGCTGCGCACGCTGATCATAGACCTGACCTACAACAGTGTACTGCGCCGTGGGGTTGTACGTTGCCCAATACTGGCTATGGTGGCAGAAATCATCAAACACTTTATGGGCAGGTCTATGCTAGTTGACAGTCCACTCCTTGAGAGTTCTGGAGAAGTGGTGGAGCGGTTTATGTTTATCGTGCCTTTCAAATATCGGCTGCTCCTGATGGGGCATATATCCAGGTAATAATGCTCCTGATGAGCCACATGCTGCTGCAGATTCTGAGGATGACGAAATGGTGGAGATGTAAATAACAGTGGCCGAGCATGCCTACTCACAAGAACGAATGATAATTGACCCCTTATACAGGTTGGTGCGTGGAGTGCAGCATCTGTATCAATTGGACATGACTAGACCAGTCCGTTTGACGCTCTGGCCTTTTGGATCTCCGGGTATCATGGTGGAGGTAACTGGAGTGACCAGGCTATTGTTTTCAGATGACATGAGCCGGATAAATTTGTATGAAGAAACGAATCAACAATCCTTGACATTTGCTCTCATTCAACCACGACCGCCTGATAGACCGCCTGATAGAGGGCTCGGGAATCAACCTATACATATGATTGGAATTGCATTTTCAAATTATCGATATCTGTTGGTGGATCTGTACCTACCAGGTCAGATCGTCAGGACTGCTGTGCAAGTGCCATTTGGGCACAAGGTGCTGGACATTTATCGGGTCATTGCGAAAGGCAAAATTAGATTGAAAGCACTTTTAACTACATCCTTCACCTTGATATGGCAAGCACCGGAAGGTGTACAAATATTCCGATCATATGAAGTCCCGAGGATACCTTCTGGGTCCTGTGTTTTTTGTATACTTGAAGGTGACAGAGACAATGTGCTTGGACAATTGGGATTCCCCTATACGGGAAATACACGTGGAGAGCGTCCACAGGGATGACACAGCTAGCAACAATGCAGATACCCGGAGGAGGCATCCGCCCAATTCAGGAGTCCACACTGACCTCCTGACAGGGATGTACATTCCATGTCCTTGGAATCAGAGCCGAATCCAGATGGATTGACGCTCTTGCAACTTACGAGAAAATGAATGGAAGAATGCGATGGATAAAGGATCCCTTCCAAGAATTGCCACCACCAGGCAATCCTGTCCGATGGGTTCGATGGGATCTCAATACACTGGATGATTTTTTCCAGATAGGGGAGCAGGAGGTTGTCATGGATATCAAATTTTGTCTAAAAGGACTTCGACAGACGGGACAAGGGGATTCTTTGATTACCAAATCACAGCGTGTCACAATCCCACTGGCCACGGAACTCGACCTGAACACCACAGAAATGAAATTTCCGATATACCAGCCACTGGTGGATGCATTGCTTGTCAAGCCCATGTATCCTGCAGACTTGTTCTTTGACTTTGAATAGTTGAAGGACTTTTTGCCTGAAAGCCAACTGCAGGAATTTGACATGATGTCCCATGGTTGGATTGAAGGGGCTGACTCCATTGAAATATATACGGATGATTCCTACCAATCCAATTTTGATGGAAATGCGGCTTGGGCCTTTGTGATACTAGTTCGGACCGGAAATTTCTTTACCTTGATTGGAATGGATTACGGGCTTTGTGTTACGGATGAGCTGGAAATTGGTTGGTTCGGAACGGAACACTCGAATGCTCGAGCCGGTGAAATAGGGGCACAGATTCGAGCGATAGAATGGTACTTTGCACACGCCCTCGATAAACAGGTTTTATTCCTTTTTGACGCCCAATCAATTGGGTATTGCGCATCCGGAGAACAGTCATACAGACATGATGATCGTGCCATGAGATGTCGATCGCCCTGAGTTCTTGGCTTGAGAATACGGCCTCTCCGAAGCCGAGGTGGAACCGCGTAAAGGGCCACATGAGTGTTTGGCAATGAACTAGCTGATGCTTTAGCAAAATTTGCCCTTCGAAATCAAGGGGAATTCCGTGGCATCGTCAGGCCGGACTACGTGCTATACATCTGTGGGGACAAGCTGCCAATTGAGCACTTTTGGTGGCATTGGGAAGCAGATCAGACCTTCCGCCTTTGCATAATGATATATTGTCTGTCCCACGAGTACTTGTTAGCCAAAATGCTGAAGAAAAGACACTTATATTTCTGTTGGAAGCCTTAAAAAGCTGTGCTGACTCTGAAAAGAAATTTCGACTGTTCATTGTGACCTACAATGTGGGAACTTTGGGGCCGAAGGATTCAAGATCCAATACCTACGTAAACAGTTGGAAGCACACGGAGTCACTATTGCATGTCTGCAAGAAACACGTGCCCGGACTTCACAAATGATTACTTCCAGGACACATGTGAGATTAACCTCTTCGGCTTCGCAAGGTCACGGGGGAATTGACATTTGGCTCCTGAGAGTGTCCAGTACAG